GTGGTGGGCGCCTGTAGTCCCAGCTACTCCGGAGGCTGAGGCAGGAGAATGGCGTGAACCCGGGAGGCAGAGCTTGCAGTGAGCTGAGATCGCACCACTGCACTCCAGCCTGGGTGACAGAGCGAGACTCGTCTCAAAAAAAAAAAAAAAGAAAAAACCTGCAAATACGAGGTATAGGGTGGAAGGGGCAGGTCCGAACAGCATCGTCTACGCCTCACCTAGCTCTCGGTCCTTTTTCAACATTTCTCCTGAATATGCTCTACACATATTAAACCCACGAGTGGGTTGCATCAAGGCCAGCATCCTGGTGGTGACACTGCACTGTGGTAGGAAAGATGTTACCAACGGGGGAAACTGGATGAAGAGTACAGAGATCTCTCCGTGTTACTCCTCACACCTGCCTAGGAATCTACCATTATCTCAACATAAAACTTTGTTTTTTAATTAAAAAAAAAAAAGTCTTTGACCAAAACCAAACTAATAACAATGACTCCCATCTGTCAAGTGCCTGGAGAGGCTGATGGTTAACAAACAGCCCTGGAGCCAGACCACCTGGGTTCAGATCTCAGCTCCACCTGTGGCCTTGGTCAAACGACAGCACTGCCCTGGGCCTCGGGGCTGACATCTGACAGATGGGTTTGTGGTGGTGACCACCTCCTTCGGTTGGTGTGAGGAGGAGATGTTTATGAGCAAGGACCCCACTTGTGCTGTTTGTTTTTTATTGTTATGACTTTGTGGAGGGTTCTGGAAGGCTCTGTACTGACCTTTTATAAGCCTCGAACATTCTCTCAGGTAATCCCCACAGCCACACTTCAGAGGCAGGACGAGGCCCACTTCACAGTTGAGGAGTTGGGGGCACCTAGAGCTCAGGTTGAGCGGTGGGTCTGTGGGACCTGGAGGCTGCTGGCGGAAGGGAGGGGGCTGAAGGGCACCTCTTGGACGGGGGTTGCTACATCCCAGTCCTGCCCAGCCCTGGAGAGGCAGGACCCTGCCCTGGCCACACAGGCTGCAGGGATGCTGACTCTGGGGCCAGGCTCCGTGCAAACCATCATCTCCCCCAAGGAAAAGCACCGAGGCACTGTGTCCTCTGGGGTGTCTGGGATTCAGAGACTCCCCAACGCTTTGCAGAGCTAGGGGCCCGTGTGTCCTCCCGCCATCTTAGGGAGAAGCTGGAGCTGAAAGTCCGCCTCATTCCCAGAATCCAAAAGACAGAGGGTCTCCCTCACCAGCCGGGGTCCTACATCTTTTCTAAGCCTGCTCCAGTTTTTGTTTTGTTGCCGTGTTTGGCTCAAGCCTCATGTGTTGTCCCAGCAAAAATTGGTTTGATATTTCCAGAAAGGTTTCTTCTCTTCCCCGAGAACAAACAGACCCGAGCTCCACACAATTCACACCCTCAGGGCTCAGGAACCAGAAAGAATAGAGGAGGAAATCTGCGTTGGAGGCCTGGGCGGGTGCACCAGGGAGAGAGATGCAGCGGGCGCCACTTCACGGGGCCACCCCACAGCAGGCGCTGCTAATCCCAGCTATGGAAATCCCAGCTATGGAAGAGGAAACTCCGGCCTCAGAAAGGAAAAGTGACTCCCAGAGGAGCAGAACTGGCTGGGGTTGTGGCTCTGAGGACACCACTTAAGAAACTCTCTTAAATAATCATCATGTTTTCCAATTTAATAATAATACCCTCCTCTCTTCTCAGTACCACTGCCCTGCAGAGGTCAGGGGCTGAATCTGAGCTCTGGTACTTACTAGCTGTAGCCTTGGGGCAAGTCTCCTGGGCCTCACTTACCCCATCGGTAAAATAGGCACAAAAAATACCTACCCCATAGGGTAGTGGACACAGTGAAAAAGATTAACCGACATGAGGCTCCTGAAATGGTGCCTGACTAGATATTCATTCTCTCTCTCTCTCTCTCTCTCTCCCCCCCCCGCCGCCCTCTCCCTCTCTCTCCATATACGTATATGTTAGCTGTCATTAAAGAGGTTTATGATTTACAGAAAAGTAAGTGGGCCAATGTAGCATTGTAAATACTTATAACAAATAACTAGAATTCATCTTAATTCAACAAGATTTGAATTTTTCCCAGAAGGCTTTTATGTTTTCTCTTGGGTTTTGTCTTACTGTATTTACTAAGACAGGGAGATTCCCATGCTGATGAAGGGGAGCGTTCCTGAGGTCGCTTTTGGGCCAGTCCTGTGCATGCTCTCGGTTTGGACAGCGAGGCCCTGGGGCTAGGGTAGGGACCAGCACAAGATAACCAGGGGCCGCGTTGCTTTCCTTCAGACCCAACCCACAAACAAAGGGACAGAACAGATGTGGGCATCCTGGAAACCTCTCCCAAAGCTGAGAGCGTTTCTGCTTCACGAAGAACCAGTCCAAAGCGCCCCCACCCAGCTCGCGCCGCCGCCCGGGTGTCAAGTAGGCTGCAGTGGTGCTTTCCTCGCAGGCTGCTGTGGCCCTTGGACCAAGGTGAGCCCCCACTCTGGCAGGGCACCCTTCGGGAGCAGGAATTAAAGACAAAGAAACAAAACCTCAGAAGTCTCCAGTTCATTACATGGAAGTGTATTTCCTAAATTTGAATCTAGAAGTTTAGGCTTGGGGCGGTTCTCAATCCCTGGCTGTGCACAGAATTACCTGGGAGCTGGTAAAAATAAATACATAATAAATAAAGCAGTCACATGCCCTCAGGGTCTTCTAAGTCCCTGGGGGGCATCTGTGCCGTAAAACTCTCTAGGGAATGAGAACTGCTGGGCCTAGGATGGGAGCTTTGGGCTAGGGACAGCAGGAGACAAAGGTCTCTGCAGCAGAAGTGAGCGCCAGTGCCAGGAGAATGGGGCAGATCCCTGCCACCTCCCTCAGCCACCCACCCAGCCTCTCCTCGTCCCTGCACTTTCCAGAGAGCACTGCTTGCCTCCCACTCCCCTGACCCTGCCTCATCTTCTCAGCTCTGCCTGGCTGTTAACAGCACCAGGACTTCTCCCCTCTCCCCAGGTCTCTAGCCCCAAAGCGTTTTCAACTTCACGTCTTTCTTATCTGCCTGCCCGGAACCCCATCTTCACCTCCTTCATCTCCCTCTTTCTGGTTTCCCTTCCTGGCGTCCCAGGCCAGCAACACACTGAGTCCTGCAGCTATGACCTTCTTCCGCATCTCAGCTTCTCTCCTTTGATGCTCAAGAGGTGTAAACAACAAACAGGCTTCCCTGGGCTCTTATTGATTAATTGAGGCAGCACTCAGGCCCTTCTCAAGCCTGGCCTCCAGCTCTGGCCTCCAGCTCTGGCCTCCAGGCCCTGGGAGGGGCATTAAACACTGGGTCCACCCACCCTGGCTTCAGACTTTCATAGCTTCTGTCCTCACTCACTTGCCACTACACCTTCCCCTCTGGCCTCATAAGGGCATTCAAAGTAAATCACAGAAGGAATCCTGAGGCTGTTTTCTTTGGATGTGGATATGGAAATTCAGCTAGAAGTTGGGGGAACCAGAACTTAGCCTGGGGACTGGCGATTCTCTCCAGAGCCCTTGGAGCCACCAGGTGCCAGGCGTGGCTGCTCAACCCCTAGGCTTTCAGTGTCTTTCTTCAGGGCCACTGTCCCTCCAGGCAGTATGCACGGTGGTCAGGAGCCTCACTAAGAAGCGGGGCTGTGACACCTCTGGGGTTAACAGAGCAGAGGTGACATGCAGAATGCACCTGGAATACACCTGGCCCTAGAGAGCGCTCCACAGTGGCCTCAGCCCCTATCCACCGTTCTCTGCGGTGCTTTAAAGTCCGTCGGCGGCGTGATCTCATGTGCGGCCCTCACCGCTGGCCGGTAGGACTTACAGGAAGGAATCAGGCCGAACCTCTGGAGTGGGTCCGGACTGAAAAATAAACTGCTCTTCTATCTGTGTTGTGGGGAGGGGAGGCAATTTCCTGGAGGGCCCTGGGAGAGGTTCAGTGTTAGGAATGAATCTGTAGAATCTTCTGTGTGATTTGGAGATGAGAAGTGACTGGCAGTTTCAGGCAGATCAGTCAGGGGAGGGCTGTTGGGCTGTGTGCCTTGTTGGGTTTGCATGTTCTGAAGTTATTTGACAAAGAAAACAGTAAAGAAGTGAATAAAAATATCCAGTTGTGTTTTTGAAGCACTTTTATTCTAAGACCACTTTCAGGGATGAAGGAGGAAAGACATAGTTATCTGCTTGCCCCAGCTCTCACAGCCGGACGCTGCGGCTCGGGTAAGATCTTAAGGAGTTTTCTTAAGGTCTGGCTTTGAGCTCCTGCCCAGCTCCATTCCTCTGTGTCAGAAGAGTTTAATGAGTAAGAGGGTGGTCGCTGAGAGATGCAAAGAGTCTCAGGAGAAAACGCGTCCCAGAAACAAAGGCACGCCCGTGGTCACACAGAAAATAGGAATAAATGCTCAGTCTCCCGCCTCCCTAACCTCCAAGAAGACCATAAACCCCAGCTCAGAACTGGGTTGCAAGGCATTGACGCATTGCAGGGGGGAAGGCAAATATCTCCTCAGCTAACGAATGTGGGGAAGGGGGGGGTGATTTTATATTCCAAATGATTTTTTTTTTCTTTTGAACATAAACATCTGGTGTCCTATAAATAAAATTCAAAATGTAAATACTGTAAAGCCCATTAGAGAGTGGTTTTAGGTTTGGTGGGAGCACGGGTCAGTTGCTAACTCACTGCACTGTGGTGGGAAAACATCACCCCACACGTGGGTGTTCTCGGCTCCAGCAAGCCGCCCGCGTCACTGCAACAGCCGGGCTGCACTTCGTCTTATGAATAAACATTAAAACACGGGTCAATTGTCTTATATTTATTATGTTGCACGAACAGTTTTAAATAGCTACCTAAAAACCTTTCTGCTTTCATTTCATACATTGGGGAAAAAAATACCTTGTGAAGGGAGAAGACCGCACTTCTTAAAAGGACCCAAATTCCTGTGCTCACCAATGAAGCCTCGGGACATGCGCTCGGCCAGATTTTAATATCAGGTTTAAAATGCTCTTCCAAAGACATCTGCTGTTCGAGACATATTAAACAAGCTTTATTTAATAATGCTCAATTTGACTTTTCCAATTTAAATATGTGCTCTGATCAGCAACCATTTGATCCCGGTTTCATTTCAGGCTGAAGAATAATTTCTCTTGGTTGTTTTTCTTCGGTTCTGGGTTGATCCTGGGGCCGAATGGCTGCTCTCGAGTTCCCTACATTTCTCGAGTCTGTACTGTGAGTGGAAAGAAACAGAGCCATAAAAAGCCTCTCCCAAAGCTGCTGTATAACGTTTACATTGTGTGTCCTCACATCTGTCTGGCTGAAGACAAAAGATATCATTTAAAAGACTCCTCCTAACTGGATAATTATACGGAGAGGTTTTATTTTTTAAAGTAGAGCATCCGAATGCAAAGAAATTCCCAAGGAGGTGTTCTTTTTCTAGATATATTCTGCTACCTACCCTCTGCTTTTCCCCTGTTCGGGGATTTTTATAAGAATTGTTTACACCAAATGGTCATCCATTAGCGGTCAAGGATTTTAAGGCAGCAGCAAGAAGAGGGAGAGTTATTTTAATATTTTAGTTCAATGTGTTTTACAAGAGGGAATGCCACTGTAGATCCCACTAACCTCAGGAACATTTCAGATCGATCTTTTGGTTCCCGTCATTACTATTCTGATTTTACTAGAATGCTATTTAAAAAGCAGACCTTGAATTTTGGTTTTATCTTCTCACGCCACCTTCAGAAAATAGCCACCATGAAGCCCGTGACCCTGGTCCCCCTCTCGAGGTATCGTAAAGCCATTCATAACGGCATAAATGCCTGACAACACTCCCTGATTCCAGCCCGGGGTAAGTCAGACGGTGGTGAGGGTGGGAGAAACGCTGTCGGTTATCCGTGCACCCTCTCTACAGGGACTGTGAGCCCAGCCTGGGAGGAGGGGTCTTTTGCTGTGAAAGGAGCATTTATTAGCGCAGGGCCAGCGCCTGGTTTATGGACCCCGGCCGGGTGGGAGGATGCCACCCCATCCCGCCTGCAGCCTGCGTCCTGGCCTGAAGTGTTTACCGTCAGGGTGATTTACACCATCCAGGTGTTCATTTGGGAAGCATCTCGGCCCTAAGCTGATGCAGCGATTGCAGCGGGTTTGCAGACTGCAGAGTTTTTCTATTCATCAGGGTCCAGGGGCCAAAAAGACAGTTTTTGTAAATGCTGGCCCAAAGCAGCCTCCTCTCCTGTGATTCCACAAAGGAAGGCTGAGTGACCATGTTAGCCAAGCTCCCCGGTGCCCTGTCCATGTTGGAGAAATGGCCCCTTAGTGCAGTTGCCCTGCTCTCTCACCGATCCTCTCATCAGATCAGTTCCTCCCGGCAGTCCCTGTCCTCCGGGCTTTGGTGGCCGTGTGGATGCTAAGCCGGGCTTTCCTTCTGCTCCTTTAGCACCCTGGGGCTTTCAAAAGGGTCTTGCTCAGCCGATTCTTTTCTGAATGGAATTTGGGGTTCTCAGACGAGCCTGGAGTGGTGGTGATTGCTCCATTTCTCCCCAGCCCCACAGATCAGCCTCTGCTGGGTGCTTCCATTTTAAGGGATGCATTTTCCAGGAGCCGCTTTCTCGAGATAACCATTCTAATATTTTTGCTCACTTTTCAGCACAAGTGATGGCGTTATTGTTTTGTCACTGGGTTTCCACGGGGAGTCCCTGAGACCTATGCCTGGCATAATTTGAATGCCAAATTAAAACATGCCCCAAGACACTAAAAATGGCCTTTTTGTTTGATTTAAAAAAAAAAAATTTAAATTTGTTTTATCATATCCATTTCATCTCCATTTAAAGGAGTTTGGACATTTATTAACATATCCATTTTTACACTTGTACTAATCTTTTCTCCAGCCACTTCTGGTACTCTGATGAAAAAACAAGAAAATGTATTTTTTGCCTCATAGAACTCTTTCTACACACACACACACACACACACACGCACACACACACATGAGAGTGAGGGGAGGATTCTTGTAGTGAAGTAAAAGATGATTCTTTGTCTATGTTTAATTTTTGCAAATAATGTTTTGCTAATCCTGAAAGTAACTTTTTTACTGATCCTGAAAATACTGATGCTGAAAATTTAAGAGCTCATTTCATCTTAGCTGGTTTTCTCTCCCTGATGAAATTCTCCCAGAATAGTTTTTTTGCACCCTTGCAAGATGGGTAAACATAAAGCATTTGGTCAAACACAGGTGGGTTAAAAAGGGGGAACCATTTGATCCAGTTTTAGCAAATAATATATTATTCCTTCTGCTTTGAACTCTACATTTAAAATAGTCTTTTACGCCAATGATTTGAATACTAACAAATTCACTTAAAAAGCATCCAAACTTCCCGTTTGTGCTCTTTTCTCCCTGGACTATAAATATGTAAACCTCCCCAACAGAGTGAAAATAGCATTGATTTGCCACACTAAACAGGGAAGCGTTTGCACCAGCAACTGTTTAAAATCACTGGTCCTGGGATGAAGAAAAAAATGGCAGAAATAAAATAAAATTTTTCATTTCCAAGCATCAAGTTGAAGCCCTTTGAAGCGATCATCGGCTCCCTGGGAAACGCTTTTTCTCTGTTACCTGGCACAGCCAAACATTAAAAAGAAACGTGGAAAACATCACACTGACCCAAAGAAAATTGAAAGAAAAGTACTGGAGACCAATTCTCACCCTTGCTATAGACAGAATAAGTACGTGCGTTTGTGAACCTTAACTGTTGATCTAAATATGTTGCTTCAACAGATGTCCACTCGTGGATACAGACACATGAAAATACACGAGACCATGCTCTATTTTAAAGAATTGTGGGAGTGTTGAATACTCAAACCCATCGCACACCACCAGGGCAGCTAAGAGCACAACTGAATGAAACCACCAGAATCATTTATTTTAACCTCCACTGGAGCTGTCCCCAAAAAGCAGGTGACTATTGAAAGTGCTTTTTTCTGTTTTTTTTTTTTTTTTTTTTTTTTTTTTAATTCTAAATAACAAGAGAGATAAAAATTAATGTCATTCTATGGGGTCTGAACATTAAAAGGTACGAGAGAGTTAGCCAGGGCCTGCTAAATGGCTAAACAGATTAGTAGCCTTACTCTTCAACATATAAACATCTGAAACCCGTTTCCTGTTTAAGAAAAAAAAAAAGTCTAGGTGGATGACCTCGGGCACTTTTTTTTTTATTAACAAATGTGAATTGTACATCATGGTGGAAAAAAAAATGGTCCACACTTGGTGGTCTTTCTACAGTCTGTATATGGGAGACAGAGAAAAAAATACAAAAATAAACGTTACCTTCTCACTTGCAGGGTGGGCAGTGCCATTTCTGCAGCCGTCCAGGGCTCTGGCAAATGTTAAGGCTGTCACTGCAGACAGAATCCCCATGGTCTGTCTGTGTGCCTCGATAGAGTCCGAAGAAAAACATTCCTCACATTCCTGCCGGTTGGTCCTATCTCCAGGCCTTGGACGCGGCCCGCAGGCTCGTGTCACCCCGTCAGACGGCCTAGGCCACGGCTAATCTAAACCCCTGCCCTCCCCAGCCGGCCCTGCGGCAGGGTGAAAACTGGGACCAATTTGCTGCCTAAACCCTGAGGATACAGCAAGTTGATTCTCGACCTTTAAGGACACCGGCTGCGATTTGTTCAGCCGCAAAGAGCTTAGCGGTTCTGGCACATTCTGACAAGATACATTTTATAGGGTTTGTGCTAAAATTTGATATTGGAAGTTGGGATTCCAATTTTATGCCTCCAGTGATAACAATAGCAGCTGGAACCTTTAAGAGATGTGTGTATGCCTTCTATCGAAGAGTTACATAATACAGCTATTTATGTCAAACACCTTATAAGGGAAAGATTTCGCCGAAATGCCAATATAACATATAATACTTTTTCATATTTAGATAGGATGAAAAAATCTACTATCAGTGCTGCATATAATTTTTGGTTTGGAATATTAGATCCGTGGGGGCTGTCGACATTTTAAGTAAGCATCTCCTTGCCTTAATCTACGAATTCATCGAAGGGCCTTTTTACAATATTGTTTCTGTACAAAAGACAAATACCGATACCTGATTATTTGATTTTCCAAGTCCTTCTAATGAATGTACACAAAAGAAGGGCACAATTTCATGTTGTTTGATTTGACTTCTGTAATTCCCAGCATGCCATAAAGCCATTCAGTGATCCCTTATAAACCCAGGCTGCTTTTGTCTCCTGAAAATGGCCGTGGTTTTGGAGAGGAACTGGCTGACCAGAACCTTGATAGTTCTGATGAAGGAAGAGATCCGCCACTCAAGGAAGAAAGCCTTTCCCAGCAAAGAAACAGCAGTGCCCAGTTCAAGGCAGCATCTGCAGCTCGATTTCGGAGGGGCTTAAATCCCCTCCAGCTTCCCTGGTGATACCACAGCAAGCTTTCAGAGGATGAATCCCACCACCAAATAGACAATGACTCTTGTTTACACCAGACGCTTAGGAGTGACCACGCGTGGGCCTGCGAGGCGGGCTTGGCTGGAAAATCCCAGCTTCCCTCTTAGTTTTTCTGCTCAGATGGCAGAATCTAATTGAGATGGGAAGAGAACCCCGATTAGCAAAGCCAGGGGTTCGCCTGCACCCACGCATGTGCTGGTTCTGTCCCCTTGCTTCAGTTTTCTTTGATGAATTGGACGGTGTGACCACGGGTTAATGAGAAAGCCCAGTTGGACGGCGGCACACACGGTCATCTGGATGCTCTCTGCTCCTGCCCTGGCCCCTGAGTCTCCCACCATGGACCACAGCCCCCATTGAGGAACACAGAGATCACGAGGGCCAAATGCAAACACCACTTCTTCTTGGGACCTGTTGCAACCAGGCATCACCAACTTAAACTTGGCAAAACGCAAGTTCAATTTCTTTTGTTCTGAAGTCACAACTTGAATGTAACAGCTCCTAAGCCAATACGATCTGAAAAAGAACTCACAACTGAGCTGACCCCTTCCCACTGTCCGAAAATTGCTTCAGCCTAAATGGAAGGCAATTTCCTTTTCTTTTATAACAAGAGAACCGCTAAGCTTCACTTAGTGTTTTCCCCCAGTGTCACCACTAAATACCAGCATTTACAAAAAGATCCCTCGTTGTGTCAACTGCCAGGGTGTCTAATATGTTGAATTTTAAATATGTTGGCTACATGATTATTGTCAGAGAGAATCATGCTCCAGATAAGGACCAGGAAGTGCATCTAAAGACAGAATTAATATTTAGAATAAAAATGCACTGGTCCAGACGTTTTTGCAGAGACTTAGATTTGAAACAATGGCTTGTGTCCCATCCACTCAGTGACACTGATGCTGACTGTCATTATCTACATTTCACATCAGGGGAGATGGAGGGAAAGGAAGATTCAGTTTCACAAAGGGAGAACATAACAGATGAGGCTCGACAGTAAGTAATAATAATTGTATTAATAACCACCTTGATGGAGTTATTGCCAGATGCCAGGAGTTTTCCACTCTCGTTATATCATCATAATTGGAAAGACTCATCTGACCCCCACAACCACCCAGGAGGAGGGACTATTATTAGTTTAGTTTTGTAGATGAGGAAACTGAGGCAGAGAGCGGCCAGCCCATCGCTGAAGACCAGGCTGCTGGAGAGTGACAAAGTGTTAGAGTCAGGAGCCCAAGCCAGGCTGTCCGCTGGAAGAGCTGGAAAAACAGGAGATAAACATCAGCAGTGAGAGCCCAGGTCACACTGCCCAGGGCCACACCCTAGACTGCCACCTGGGTGAATGAACCATTCTGAGCCTTAGTTTGCGCTTCTGTAAATTGGGGAAAGCAACGGTCCCTACCTCACGGATTTTTTATTGGGATTGCATAAAATAGGGCCTGAAAAGTGCATGTCCCATTGGACATGCCCAGCAAACATGAAGTGCAGTGCATGTGGTCTGGTCTGGTCGCCCACCAGACCAAAATTCATTCCCCTCACTGACCAGGTCATGACTGCAGGGTTTGCTCCAGGAATCCATCTGAGAACTCTGTCCATGTTCTCAAATGCCCGGATGGCAAGGTGGCTGAGGGCAGTATGGTGCGATCCCCAGCAGCCAGGACTCAGCCCGGCTGACCTGTCCCCAGCCAGTAGATGATCCGCAGATGCCCACAGGAAGGGGATGCATTACCAGGTCCACCAGCCCTCCCAGGGAGGCCATGTGCAGAGCCCCACAGACAGCTCCAGGCCCCGCCGCCAAGTCTGTGTCCTATATACAATGTCATCTGAGGGTGGCACAGAACACCCGGCTGGCTTGCTGGCCACCCACCAGCCTTTCAGCCACCCTGGCTGCCCTCTGGTTTCTATTGTGTCTGTTAAAAGGCAGACCCCTCTGGATGCTTTCCTCCGCTCTTTTCAAAGTGCCTCCGCCCTCACCCTTCAAACATGAAGTTGATGGTTGTACCATGAGCTGCAGGAACAATAAACAGCCCTGAAGCCACTCCACTCAAGGCCTCGAGGCCCTCCCGACAGCCGGACGCCTGCTCTGCCACGGGGGCTGGGCAACACAAGTGAGGGCTTGAGAGCTGGTTCAAATCCTGCGTCTGCCCCCTGCGAGCTGTGTTTGCTCAGACAAGTAGCTTGCCCTCTCTGGATCTAGTTTCCCTGTCCGCAAAAGCACAGCAGACATGGGCAAAGTGCTGGCTTGCAATTCTCAGTAAATTACGGATTATCACATCCCTATTTAACTCAGGCAACAAAAAGAAAATACTTGATTGTGTGAAGAGCAATAACTCTTAAAAATGGGGTGGCCACCCCATAATAAGAAAAGCTAGAAAAAAACAAATCACAGGATGCGGTGATTTGGCAGGGTGATATACGGAGGAAATTCTGCCACCAGGAAACAGTATTGTCCGTAGGTTTTCTTCCTACCTTCTTCCTTTAATGGCTAAATAAAATCTTCAATCACTGAAAAATTACCGTAATATCAACAAACATGCCGTTCCCAGTGGCACCAGGGAATATATTCTTCAAATATATGGCAGTTTAAATATATTCTTATATTTAAAGTATCTACACATTCATAATTAAAATATTAATGTTTTACAAATATAAAAAACTTGAAAAATAGAGTGGCAGGATTGTGGTTGAGTTCTTTTCTGTTATACATCTTTGATTAATGTCTTACGTTTTTTCCTCCTCAACTTTTTCTGTGAATTTCTTTCCATATACACGTAGTTGGAACCTCGGTGTGGCTTTATGTAAGTATTTTAAAGTGGCGAACAATATTCTAACACAAAACCGTCTTCCTCCCTATTCTTGGGTATTCACGTTGTTAAATTGATTTCTGTTACAGAAATATTTCACCCGTAGAGATTTTACCATATTTTGGGTTATTTCATTGGCACAAATTCCCAGTAGTGATGAGAGTCGAAGGCTATCCACATCGGATGATCTTGATAGACCTCAATGTCACTTATTAAGGAGCCTCCCCTCGGGTACATAAAGAACCTACACTCAGGCAACACCCTATAGGTCAAAGTTCAGGGGCAATGACCCCACGGATGGGTCTTTGCCTCTGACTTGAATCTGCATGAACTTTTACTGGGAAGTGGAGTTTATGAAGATTTTTTTAATTGTCACAAGTTCTTTGGGGAGAATAGCTTTATGGATGAGATTAGAATTAAGAGAATTGTTTACAGATAATACAGAGAAAACATGTCTGCTAATTAATTAACAACAAACCTTAAAAAAATAAAGGGAAATGCCAAATGGCCATATTAAAATAAAAACAGTCAGTCCCTGAGCAACATCATCTCTTAAAACCCCCGCGCACTCGCGGTTGAGGGAGGCTCATGGAGCCGAAGTCACAGACTGTGAGGGCTGTGAGGGGCTTTGCAATTCCTCCAGCCCAGCGGCACGCTCGGAACCTCTGGGGATCTGACTAAAGGGCAGATTCAGATTCAGCAAGTCTGGATGAGGCTGAGGGTCTCATCACTAACTAGCACCAGGGAGGCCAGAGTCGCTGGTCCCGGAACCACACGGGGTAGCCAGGGTTTAGAACAGAAAGGATACGGATTTCGTCTGTTTGGGGTAGTGGCTTCCTGAAGCCTTGTTTGAGAAGGATTTGGAACAACAGATCTTAACTTTTACTATACTTTAGAATCACCAGGGGAGGGGTTTTAAAAACCTCCTACGTAGGTTGCACCCCCAGCTAATTGAATCAGAATATTTGGGAGTGGGACCCCGGTGCTGGGATTTCTTCAAAGCTCCCATGTGATCCCAACGTGCAGCTGAGGCCGAAAACTGGTGATTGAGATGCTTCTTCGAGCCTGGGCAGGAGGGAGCTGAAGGAGGGACTGGTGATGTCTGCCAGGAGGAAGGCGGTAGCAAACACTGCAAATCTGCCATCACTGATCTGAGGTTTGCAGGGAGTAAGAGACACACCCAAAGTCTCGACTGTAGTGGAGTTAGGGAGTTGGGATGTCCATCTTCAGACTCTCACCTTCAGACTTCTCTGTTTCCGTTTTTTCTTTTTTCCTTTTCAGACAGGGTCTCACTCTGTCATCC